GTCCACACACCTCAGTTCAATCCATGAAAACGCATTTGTTTTCCATTGTAAAGAGCTAGGCTCAGTCTTTCGATGCAATGTCACATGCTACCAAAAAAAAAAAAAAAAAAAAAAAAAAAAAAAAAAAAAAAAAAAAAAAAAAAAAAGAAAAGAAAAAATAACCAATAACAGACAAATATTCTGAATTGTTCTGTCATTTTGATTTAACAAACATGTCAGCTGAGAGAACAAGACTGGGTATTTTAATTATGTCAGCATATAATAATTAAATCTGGCTTTACTCGCCTTTGGGTATATTTTTAAACAAAAACAAACACAAAACCTCTGTCTATGCAATCAGTAGCTTTTAATGTTAAGCACATATTTGGCAACGTGTACCCGGTAAGCGGGCTGTCATCACTAATTCCTTTGGTACCCATGTGATAACATCAGTCAAGAGGAACCATAGTGGATATAACACAAAAGTGTGGGTTTCTTTCTTTATAAATCGGCAGCTGTGAAAAGATTTATAATTTCCCTCTCACTGACATCACTGGGCAGGTAAAGCAGGCAGCCCCACTGGCTTTGATGAAAGGATATTACCCGGCGTATGGAGTTAACATGGGTGACAGTTGTAATATCTTTTCCCTGATGTTAGTTACAGCTGTTGTACCATTTCAGGCATGTCAGGAAAGTAGAGATGTTTAAACAGAGGAAAAATGCTCTGAAAGTCATCAAAAGGACACTTTTTCCAATGCCATTCGCTCTTGGTGCTATTTAATAAAAATGATTTAAAGACATTCATTTATTTTTTCTCAGTGGCAATTCAGATCATAAGCTGCCTTTTCTTTCCTTTTAAGCTTTGATAAGAATAACCCGGCATTTTTTAAGATTCTAGAGGCTGGTCCGGTCTCTTCCTCCCCTCTCCGCTCTGCAAGCTCCTGATGCGCAAAGATCTAAGAGATGGGCCACGGGTTGACGCCATGTTGCTGCCTGCACCTTGGCAGCTCATGGCCGCATTCAGAATGTGTATGGGAAAACCTCAGAGAAGGAAGAAAAATAGAAGGATTCCAACCCCCCTGCCCAACACGCACTCCAGGCAATTACTAAGACCGTCTCTTGGGGGTCTCAGGATCAAAACGGTGCCTGAGGCAATTGACATGACTTGAAAAAAAATCCTCGAATTTCAGAAGTGACACACCAAAGTCGAGGCTCCATTCCATGTGGCTGAAACATCTGTGTGAGCAAAGGAGTCCCCCACTCCCAAACAAGCAGCGACTGTGGGGAGACAGGGGAGATCTGATGGAACAGCAAGGGACTTCCAGGCAGCCTGCTCTCCTGCCTGAGTAGGGAAATGTTCCATCAGCATGGGACACTCAGGAGAAGGCTGGGGAGATTTCCAAAGCCATTCAGTCCCCGGTATGGGCTGCTCCAGCCACTGACAGCCACTTCCAAAAGGTTTCTATTAGAGCTAGACATTTGTGGGTAATTATCAAGTGTTGATAAAAGCACATATACAGTGGACTCTATAATGTAGACCCCTCTGCTAATGAGCTCATTTTAATCACCGAACAGACTATTTCCTTTGCTTTTAATGCTCATGCAGACACACTCACACAGACCCACAGTGGAGCATTTTTCTTGTATTTCCTGAACCCAGAGCTCTCACGTACCAACTGTCAGATACCTCCTGTTGGGCGACCACCCCACCCTACTTCCTCCTCTCTTGCTCTGCCTCCAACGTGCCTCCTAGTCAGACCGTTGGTCATTTGATGCAGTCAGAGACCAGGCCATTGCCTGCAGCTTTTATACCAAGTGTTGAAATGGGAGAGCTTAAGGCATCAAAGTCTCAACTGCTGTCCCACAACTGGCTGTTTCACAAATAGTTCCTTCAAAGAGCCCTGTTACAACGGAGCAAACATTTGCTGACTCACTCAGGGAGCGCGCGAACCTCCAGGAAGTTTGGTTGGCTCTAGACACTGTCTAACAAAACCAAGGCAATTGTTTTTCCATTATTCCATTACCGGCTGGCAGAGAAAACAACCAAAATAGAAATTGCTCCTTCGACATGAAGTCAGGGAGACCACAGTGAGATGGCCTGGTGCTGTGGCCACCTGGGCACCTCACATTATTTCAGATGTTTCTTGGTCTAAGCTCATGAATATCCTCTAACCATCTTTACCCCTTACTGCTGGCTATATCACTGAAGAATTGTTTTAGGCCAGAACTGAAACAGACTCAGATGTAAATAAATCTATTCCAGAACAGAATTTAATGATTGAAGTTACAATGGCAAATTCTATTTAGAATTTTCCAAATCCTCAAAGTATTCCCTGAAGTCTGATTTTAATAACAGAATTCAGAAAATGGGTAACCAGCTCCTGTGTGAAATATAAAGGACAGCGGCTAGGATTCTTCAGGGCTTTCCTTTTGTATGAATTATAATATTATTACAATATATCTCTGCTAACATTTTTCATAACAAAAAAGAAATACTGGCTATCTGAAATTCCTTTCTCAGCATTGAAAGACAACTATAACAATAACAAGCAAAAAAAAAAAAAAATTAGTGCAACAGACACCCAAACCTTAGTTTCCAGCTTTGTCCTGAGCTAGCTGCCCAGAGGAAAGACCAGCTCACACCAGCTGTCATATACCTCCCCTAATTCTCCATCCTAGTCACCTTAGCTAAGACCTGCTCTCAGAAGTACATGACTCAGTGGCATTTCCTCTCAAACTGATGTTTGTTTATTCTTTAGATTTTAAGGTTGGGCATTGGATTTGCAAAGGGGATGAGGTTCTTTGCGGGCATTTTTGAAGGTTGGCTCCAACAGGCATTCCATTCTCTCTTTAAATGTCAAACAACATAAATCCACTTCTTGAAAAGTGTTATAGAACAGTCTAGAAGTGGTTGGGCCCTGAGTTTAAATGATTGATTGGGAAAAGCTTTAGGAACTCTCTGAGGATGTTGAAAAATAAGAAGAGATGTGCTGGGAGTTTGAAACCAGCCTGGGCAACATAGGGAGACCCTGTCTCTTCAAAAAATTAAAACATCAGCCTGGCTAATTTTTGTTATTTCTGGTAGAGACAGGGTTTCACCATGTTATCCAGGCTGGTCTTGAACTCCTGGGCTCAAGTGATCCTTCCATCCTGGCCTCCCAAAGTGCTGAGATTACAGGCATAAGCCACCATATCTTGCCATGTGCAGGATCTTTATCTGGAAAGACTGTCCTTAACTAATATCATATATTTGATTTAAATGTTTTTTAAGAAATCACTTAAAGTATAAATAGAAATTCAGTGTGACATCCTGGAAGAGACTTAACGAGTTCAAGAAAGTAGAAATTAACCTGAAGGTAAGCTTGTTACCCTGCCGAAATGGTTTCTGAGAATGAGAAGAACATAAAATGAAGGAATTTATGAAGCACCCTATTTACATTGGCTGATTGTTGTTGTAGCAGTATGCATGAGTTTAATGGTCTTGTGTAGCACTCACTACAAAGTTGAGGGATTACAGGAGGAGCAACTCACAGCCCTTGTGCTCTTAGGTTTCCCAAGACAGTCTTAACTTCCACCTCTACTTAGAATAGAAAACACTCATGACGTGTTTGCTTTAGGCTAGCGATTCTTCTAAGCCTTCAACACTCACTGACTTATTCAATTCCCATAACAACCATATGAAGGGAGCACTATAATTGTCTGCATTTTGTGGCTGAGGAAACAAAGGCAAGGTTAAATAACTTGCTGTGCCAGATATTGATTATATTCTCTCTCCCCTCCAAATTCACCCTTTTTGCCTGCTCTGTTAAAATGGAACCAGGCCCTTTAAATATTTTCCCTTAGCCAGCTGACACAATGTTAGGCTTTGCCAGTAGAGCATGCTAGAGAGAAACTGAGAGAGAGAAACTGTGGGAGAAAAGCGTGCAGCTTCCCAGAGATAGTGCATTTGCTCAGCCAGCTCCAGCACTAGGCCCTGCAGGTGGCAAGTGGCTAGCAGCACTCATGGCCAGCTGCTTCCCCAGCCCCCTCCCTGAGGTGGTTTTGCAGCAGTGCCTCCAAGGAGATGGCTCCCTGTGCATCCTAGAGGGCAGATCTCTGGCAAGTTCCAGTGAGACTTTTAGATTTTCAACAAGGTCCATTGGCATGCCACCACAAAAACTTCTCCATCACCTCCAAGTCGCTGCGGTTCCCTCTCAGCCCAGGGCCAGGAGGGACACTCTTTCTAGGACTCCTTGTATCTGCTGTACCCACCTATATTCTTTCTTTGCTACTTTCTGCCAACCTTTACTACTCTAATCTGCTATTAGGGTGAATGATTAAAGATATTAAACTTTTCCATTCAAATGACTGTGTGGTTTCTCTTTCCTAGTTGGACCCAGACGGACAGCCTTGCCTAAGGCCACATTCCAGGGAGCAGCAGCCAAGATTGGAAACCAGGCAGCTGGGTTCCCGAGCTTCCATGCTTGACAGTGTTGTCAGACCCTTGTGTGGGCAGGAAGGCACAGGTCTAATGCAGTGCGTGCTGATGTGAGGTCTCTAGTTCATATTGAAAGAAGGCAGAGAGGACATGGTGTCAGGAGAGAACCCCAGGGTGGGATTTTAAACAGTTTGCAGCAGATGGGTAAGAGAAAGGCATTTCAGAGAGGACAGTATGTATAGCAGTGGGAGGAGGGAAGGAAGGGTGACAACTTCAGGGAAGGACAGAGGTGTCACCGGGCTCCTTCTCCATCCCCAAAACTTTCGTTTCATTCCCAGGGAGAATCCTGGTAAGATTTGGAGTCTTCAGGATCCTAAATCTTGCTCTCAATGGTTTTCCCAGCTTTTCTCTTACCAGCTGTCTACGAGGCAACATTCCCCACTGGAGCATCTAGAAGCACAAGGAATTCCATGGCGGTCAGAAGCGGAAGAGGATGGGGAGCAGGTCGGTGGTACCTGCTGGGCCTTGGGCAGCATTTTATACCTTATGTTCTCTATCTTGGCCGTCTACTTCATAACAGAATACATAACAGGGAAATACTTGCATGTTTATAATAATTGCATTTATTTCCACTTGTATTGTAAAAACTAGCTTGTTCTTAGCTCCCCAAACACACATATTTATAAATAATGTAAATTATAAACATTTGGAAGAACGGATAAGCAAAGTTGGAGCCATTAGGCTATTTCTTAACAAAACAACTTTTTTTTTTTTTAATGGGGCAGGGCATGGAGTGTTGTAGAAAACACTGAAGTTACCTTAGAGCTTCCATAGAAATGGATTCTTTTCCCTAGTGAGGAATGGTGCTGCGGGTGGGGGTGGCTGAGGGCCACTCTGACTGTTCCAGGTCACAAAGGGATGGGCTGTTTGTTCCACAGCCTCGGGCATTGCACCCACTGGTGTCCAAGCCAGTCTCTAGCATTGGGTGGTGCACATGATCAGAAAGTTGTAAAATATACTCTATGATGACCCACATTTTTGCATTTGCATAACGGTCAGGTGTTGGGATTGGTACTTAAAAGGAGATGGATTTGGATCCCAAAGGTTTGATGTAAAATATTTCCCAGGGATCTAAGCAAACTTGCTTCTGTAAGGCCTCTCTGATTGGCAGGAAACAGCAGGGGAGAAGAAATCAGAAGCAAAAGGTACAATTCAGAAGCAGAAACACGAAGGGGACTGGATCTAGTGGGTTACATCGAGGGGGTTTCCCCACAACAGATTGCTGGCCAGTTTCCTCGAGGATTATTGTTTATGTTTGGCTTGGGCAGTAATTCAGGAAGTGATGTTTTCCTTTACGGAAAAAAAATCAAAAGTAAAATAAGTGTTTTCCCATGATGAAGATAATGCTAAGTTTAATGGGTTATCCGGCATGTGAAGTCCTCCCAGGTCCGGGTAGCACGGCCAGCAGCGCAGCCTGTGGCTAGACCGCATTCCTTTGAAGGAGTTGGTCCAGCAGTTGCTAGAGAAAAAGGGAAACAAAGATGTCAAGTTCAGATTCGGCATCTGTGCCCCACACACATCACACCTGCTGGCAACGCGGCCATTACCTTTTTGAAGACTTCGGCACGGAGTCTGTTACTTTGTAAGATCACCCTTTTCCTTTGTTCTTCTTTCTTCTTTTTAACTTCCGGCAAGTTATTATAGATTCTGAAACAGATTCGGAAAACATTTGGGATGGTAGCTGACAGCGGGCTCCCGCCGTGGGGCTGCATCCCGGCCTGTCGGCAGGCTCGTACATTTCAAAGGGAAGACCACTGCTTATGGGCTAGCTCTCGACTGCAGGATGCCAGGACAAAGGGCTTTCCTGACCATACCCAGAAGCCGCTGCAAGGCAGGGGATGGCACTTTGTCCAGTCCCACCAGGGGCAAAGCTGGAGAGGCCAGCTGCTTATTTAGCAGTCAATGTTTCTGTCCCTCCATTCTCTATGATAATAACTTAATCATAAAATGAAGGATTCTAAACCTACTGTTTTAGTATTCTGACAGTAAACTTGTTTCCAAATACCTTCTTACCACTCAGTGTTTGCCTTCCTGTGACTTAGAAAAAGAACAACAAATAAATGGAAGTGGCAGGAACTATAATACTGGAATAAAACACATATGAGTGTGTGTGCTTTTACCTCTCAATCTATTGCACTTTTAACTGAGGGCCCAAAGGATCTTCCTCTGGACACTTCTTTTCTATTTTCTAGCAGACTCTTCATGTTCTGATGCCAGCTAAATTTCACTATAATCCACGGACACATCAGAGTCACTGTAGCCTGAGCATTTGGGTTGCTGTATGTGTGACGCTCGGCTAAAACATCTTTCTCTCTCTTGTGTTTGAAAGCCAGACAAGATATAGATGAGATGTTCCACCATTAAAATGATAAGGACAATGTAGAAAAATGATGATGACAGTCCTTGCTTAGGTGTTGGGCACTAGGCTTGAATTGTTTGACATGAATTATTTCATTTCATCTTCACCACAGTTGGAAGAGGCATATAGTGTCCCACGGTTATATAAATGAGAAACCCAAGCTTCAGTGAGATCAGGAGACTTATAGGAAGTCCCTTGGCTGGCTTGCGGTGGGCTGGGATTTGAACCTTGATCTGTTTGACTCTTACTATACAACGCTATCACTCAACCATATGACATCAAGCTAAGAGTGAGATCCTGGAAATGCTCGTGCCTAGCATAGTGTCTAGCATCCTGTAGGCATGAACATGGGTTGAATGAATGCATGAAAAAATGAACACATAATTGCCACATTCAGGAATGATTCTAGAAAGGACTAGGAGGAAAACTGTAAGGGAGTTTGTAGGAAAACGGGCATGTCTCAAAGCTCTGCAGTGGGCATTTCCTCCAATCCGTATAGACTGACCTTTCTGATACTGACCATCTCAATCACCTGGCAGAGTGGCTAATATCAGGTGTCAACTTGATTGACTTGAAGGATTCCTGGATGGCTGGCAAGTTATTGTTTCTGGGTGTGTTTTTGAGGGTGTCACAAGGGAGGCTGGCATTTGAGTCAGTGGACTAGGAGAGGAAGACCCACCCTCAATGTGGGTGGGCACCATCTAATCAGCTGCCAGCATGGCTGGAACAAAGCAGAAGAAGGCAGGGCAACCTTGCTTGCTGGGTCTTCTGGCTTCCTTCTTTTTCCATGCTGGATGGTCCTTCTCCTGCCCCTCCTGCCCTTGGACATCAGACTCCCAGGTTCTTCAGCCTTTGGACTCTTGGACTTGCACCAGTGGCTTGCTGGGGGCTCTCAGGCCTTTGGCCACAGACTGAAGCCTACGCTGTTGGCTTCCCTGGTTTTAAGGCTTTTGGACTCAGACTGAGCACTACTGGCTTCTCTCTTCCCCAGCTTGCATATTGTGAGACTTTGCCTTGTGGTCTTGTGAGTCAACTCCCCAAATAAACTCCCTTTTTTATATATATATATCCTATTAGTTCTGTCCTTCTGGGGAACCCTGACTAATACATCTGGGAATGCTAAAATTAAGGCTCCTAGGTCCTGTTGGATCTAATACTTCTGATTCAGTATTTTCTTAAAAGAACTTCCATCTATACAACGGACCACTCTGCAGACAGTCAAAACCAACAAGGAAAATAATCTGTTTGTCACAGAAGGGACTCACAGACACAAAGTGAAAAAGCAAGCTATCGAAAGATAATGAGTAGTATGATACCATTCACAGCTAAAAGTCATTTAACTATATATGCACAAATAAAAGTCTACTTTAAGGCAAAGAGAAAGGCCTGACAGAATCCACAGGCGAGATCACTGTGGGTGTATGAGGGGCTGGGGCGGGGCAGGGAAAGCGGACTGGGAACGGGAAGGGGAACCGCTGTTCATGAGGGGACTTCAGCTTTATCTCCATTGTTTGCATGTTTCAAATAAATATGTAATTAACAATATAATTAATAGCAAAGAATACAAAAAAAAGGAAAGCTCCACGTGATTCTGTGGGTGAGCCAGAGTCAGAGCCCACCCAGGGTACAATCCACAGAGCAGAGCATAAACCCAATTGCCAGATCCACCAGAAGAGACCAGCTTGGGGAAGCAGATGACTCGAAGTGCAACATCACCTAGCCCACTTGTACTGTTTGAGCCTCAGTTTCCTCTTCAGTAAAATGATAGGGCAATACTCTCTGACTACTTATGCTGCTTTGAGATCTATTATTTTAATTGCTTAGTTTGCAAGGCTCCATAATGGTGGCTTTGGGTTTGGGGACTGGAAGGGGAGGATTTGGCTGAAAATTTTCAGTAAATTGAAAAGGGAATGGTTCTGGCATGAGGTATATGCAACTTTGTACTTCTGAAATACAAGTCTTAAAGCCCAGTGGCCCTTTAAAAACCCCAATTAGAATGCTACGAATCAGGTCTTTAATGGGACGTCTCCCTTTTCCTCGTTTTCACTTCCTTATTTACAAAGAGGCTCCCAATAGATGATCAAAGTTATCTAATCACCGTGGAAATAATATAATCATAGCAAAAGCAGAAATTGTATGCCTGAAGTGGAGAGAAAAGTATTCTTCCTATTTCAATGGTTTCTTTAAGTGTGCTATCAATTTGATTTAATTATTATAATTCCTCCCTGTGCTAGATATTTTATTACAAACTAATGACATTTTACTTGCATGAACTTGGCCAACACTGCTGAGCTATTACATTTTGGTTAAGAGGCCAGATCTCAGAAAGAATGGCAGCCTTTGTGTGCACCAGATTGGTGAGAATTACTGGGAGTCTTGAACAGCCACCAGCCAAACAGAATAGGGAGGATGTCCTGGCAGCATGGCTGCCAGGTCTGCTGGAGACGGAACACCAGGAAACCCAGCTCATGGCCCCTCCAAGTCTCCACTGGCTCCCAGGTGCCATCTGCCTCCAAGTTTGGATCCTTTCCTTCAGTTCCTGCCACAGTCCAGACCCTCGGGAGAAATAGCTTCTCTCCCCATCATAAAATTGCCTTCAAAGGTGCAGTGGCAAATAGCTCCTGCCCAGAGTGACAATGGGAATGTGCAGGAGTTCCAGCTCAGAGTCTGGGAATCTCTTCGAGACCAATTACTGGATTGGTTCAGAATCCAAGACCTACCACTTTCCTAAGGTTTTTCCAAGAGCAGCATTAACATTCTAAAGCACACTTCAACTACCATACTCACTTTAGCCATTTTATCAGATTTGCAGCCAAAAAGACCTCAGACCTTAACCATGGACCCAGAAGTGGTGGTCCCATTGGAGGGCACTTGAATCCACCTGACCAGCCCACCCCACCACTAACTTCTTTGCACACCACACAATAACCAAGTACCTCTTAGATCGCATATGCATCTCCTTCTCTGAAATGCACCGTTCTTTGGGTTTAAACAAGTTATCTGGAAAAAACAGAAAGATAATTAAGTTCAGAAGGCATAGAATCTCGCATATTTCCAGAGAAACACTGTGGTGGATTTAGTACATACTCTGCATTTGATCCTTATTCTACGCCATATCCTGAGTCTAAGCAGGACACTGTAGAGACTGATGGACCGTAAGTGGTTTTACTGACAATTGGCCAACAACAGGGCTGGTCTTGATAATAGTTAAATAAGAACATGAAGTACAATGTTAGCATCTAACCTACTTTATGGAGAGCAGCACCTCTGAATGCTTCCTTTAGCAATAGAGTCATGGTTTTCTGAGGAGAGTGCCAGAGTTGCAAGGTCACTGCATTCAATAGAAAAGTCCCTCCACTAGGTCGGTGAGGCCTCTAAGGACAAGGAAATCCCCCAGCTATCCCTAGAGCATTTTGTAAGAAGGAGGTTTCACTGTTGTCTACAGCCCTCCATCAGAGCTGCTCAGCCTCTACAAGACGAAGACCACCTTGCCCCTTTCCTAAGGTCGGGAAAGGTAACGAACAACAACAAATAATTGTGTGTGCTCAGTATTCTTTAATTAAGAAAGTACACAGTAGCTAAAAATCACTATGAGACTGGGATTCTTTTCATTCTAAGTACGTATCTCTAATCGTAATGATGTTCACAGATGGTGCACTTAAAAATGGTGTGTGTTTTAAAAAAAAGTGTATGTCCTTTTGCAAAAGGTGAAAGGGGACTGTTGCAATTACTCATTTCCCACGAGACACTCAGCCATGTAGATTAACAAAGGAATATGTAAATGCTGTGGGGTGCCTCTTGCATGGGGCTATGTTTGAGCAACTGCCATGCTTCCTAAAACACCTGGGCAGTAACCTGCTCACCCAGCAGAAGCAGACAGGCAACTTAGCCCCTTGCCAAGCAGCAGAGTTGGAGTGGGTTTCCCGTGATCCCCAGTGAAGCCCTGGGTGTTTCTATTCATCTCCTCTCAACCCGGGCCTGTCCCTTTGATCATCAATCCAGTGGAGCAACCAAATATTTCCCAGGCTTGAGAATAGACAGAATTTTCTAGGAATATCTAAGAAGGTAGGATAGAACCAAGGATCCTAAGAAATTTCTTCGTCTCTGGAGAAACATCACACAAAAACAGAGTGGCTGAGCTTGTCCCCTGTCTGGTTATTCAAACATGAAAAAGAATATGGCAGCATCATTTAACTTCAAAGACAAGATTCAAAGGAGAAATGAGGGAATCATTTATTGGGGAAGATCCAAGATGGCCGTTTAGGAACAGCTCGGAGTTGCAGCTCCTAGTGAAAGCGCAGAGGGTGAGTGGATGCCGCATTTTTATTGCCCATGGACCAGGAGATTCCAAGGTGGAGGAGCCCCACGGGTCACCAGCAGGCTGTTTTGGCCGGCGGGGTTCTTTTGGCTGGCATGGCTGCTTTGCCCCGTGCCACTGCTTTGTCGGTGCCCCGGCCGGCGGTTCTCCATACAAAATACACTGGTCCAGGTGCCCTTTTGGCTGGCAATTGGAGCCCTGAGAAGTCACACATTCATCTGATTAAAGAGGGGACTGAACAGGGAGCCAGGCCAGGAGGTTTGTGGGCAAAAAAAAGCACCACGAATCTCAGTGCTGCTGTTTAAGCTGGCACAGTGAGTTGCCGCAGGGGAAATCACACAGATCCCGGCGCCTTTTTAACATGCGACTGGAACACCTGGGATAGAGTCGACTGTTCAACTAAAAAAGAAAAAAAAGGCTCTGAGGCAGGGAGCCACGTGATCAGGCATGGCTGGTCCCACCCCCACAAAAGAACAGCAATCAGAAACTCTCTGGATTGAGAGTTTCACAGCAAGCACAGCTGAACCCGGGACCATCCAGCTCTGTGGGGGAGGGGCGTCCACGATTATCGAGGCACTCCACCACTACGGAGGTAGTCCGCCATTGCTGAGGCAGCCTGCCATTGCCAAGGCAACCCGCCATTGCTGAGGCTGCCTGCCATTGCCAAGGCAACCTGCCATTACAGAGAGAGTCCGCCAATACAGAGGTGGGCCACTATTGCCAGGGCAATACTAACTACACCCATATAAACAGGACTGCAGGGAAGTTCACACAGCAGCTGGGCAGACGGAGCTCACAGCAGCTCAGCAAAGCCTCTGCAGGCAGACAGTGAATAGGCTGCCTCCTTGCTGGGCAGGGCAGCCCTGAAGCAAAAAAGGCAGCAGCACAATGGAAACTCATAAAGAAAGCCCTAACTCCCTGGGACAGAGCACCTGGGAACAAAAAGCGGTATATGAGTTCTGCTGCAGCAGACCTAAACGTACCTGCCTAGCAGCTCTGAATGAACAACGGAGCTTACAGCTCAGCACTTGAGCTCCTATAAAGGACAGACTGTCTCCTCAAGCAGCTCCCCGATCCCTGTATATCCAAAGAGTCGCCTCATAAAGGAGAGATCAGACTGACATTTGGTGGGTATCCTTCTGGGACAAAGATAGCAGAAGAAGAAACTGGTAGTAACCCTTACTGTTCTGCAGCAGCTGCAGGCGAAACCCAGGCAAGCAGGTTCTGGAGAGGACCTCAGCAGTCCTAGAGCAGAGGGGTCAGACTGTTAGAATGAAAACTAAGAAAAAGAAATCACTTCCTCATCAACAAACAGAACGTCCACTCACAGACCCAATCTGACAGTCAGCAACTACAAAGACGACAGGTAGATAAATCCATAAACATGGGAAGAAACCAGCGCAAAAAGGATGAAAACACCCGAAACCAGAACACCTCTCCCCCTGTAAGGGATCACAACTCCTCACCAGCAAGGGAACAAGGTTGGATGGAGAATGAGTGTGATAAAATGACAGAATCAGACTTCAGAACGTGGGTAGTAAGAAACTTCTGTGAGCTAAAGGAACATGTTCTAACCCAATGCAAAGAAA